AGGAAGAAGTTCAACTGTTATCAAAAACAAATGATTATGAACTATGTAATGAATATCTTACAAATTACATAATACAGTTAAACGAACAAATTAATCAATATCAAACAGAACTTACAACTCAACTTAGTTCATATTCAATGGTACCACTATCAGTCGATCAAGTTGATAGTTGTTTAAAAGAATATGTCGATCATCAACGACACTATTTATTAACAAAAAATAATAAACAACTAGCTAAACTTCAAGATGAGATTCAAGCAAATAAATTATATGAAACGATTATGACTTCCTATCCTAATTTAATTTCAGTAAGAATATATTTTTATTTTTAACAAAGAATTAAATTTCTTTTTCTTAGAATCAATTCATTGATCAGTTAATTAGTATACGACAGAAGCAAACACAAGTTTTGGAAGAACTTCTTCAGTTAGAAATGCGAATTCTTTATAAATTTTTACCACCTGAACTTGATCAGTTAGAAAATGTGGTTGCACCTATTACTTATATACCGTTGAATAATGAACATAAAACTATTGAATTGAATAATAAACGTCATAAAATGATACAAGATGCAAAACGTCATAAAATGATACAAGATGCAAAACGTCAATGGTTACATATTTCGTTATCTGTATATGAAACTAAATTACAAGAATACAATCATCAATTAGAATCGATATTATTAAATAATACAAGTCTTCAAGGTACATCTCTATTAAATGATATTAGTCGATATGTAACATATCGAACAAATGAAATGAAACAATCTATTTCAAGCAGAATGTCTATTTTCCGTAATAAATTAATTCAACATCGTAAACAACTATCATTGAAAAATAATTTTATTGGTGTATCACCTGAACCATATCTCGATTTAATATCAAATCCATTTAATAAACGTGAATGGCAATATCTTTCACTTGGTAAATAGTAATTTCCTTTTTTTTTGAAAGAAAAACTTGAAATTTAATTTATCTAGGTCCATCATATATACGAACAAATCAAAGTGCAATTCGTCCTCGACAACAACAAGAAACTGAAATTAAAAATGAACATAAAGACATATTTTCTAAAGTTCCAAATAATCTTACAGAATATCATCATGTACCAAGAACGCATGCAATTTTTGAAGAATATGGGAATCAACTTCTTAATTATTTCAACAGTTGTTATTTTACTCCCTTACCATACAAAGATCATATTGAAGC